TCGGGGTCCTCGTGTCGCTGGGTTCGGAGGCCGCTGGGCATGCAGCCGCGTCGCGGGTGTCCCAGCTTGCTACCGAGGCCGGCGATGCCCAGGAGGCGGGCGAGGCGGCCGAGGAGCGCCGCATGGGCGAGTTCGTGGAAGAACTCATCGCCGCCGCGGGGGCGGATGACGATGCCAGGGGGCCGGCGGGGGCAGGACGTGGCAGCATGTGAGAGATGGCGCGTGTCATTCGTTTCTGATGACGGTGTTGGTGATGATGATGGCGACGACTATGATAATGACGCTGATGATGATTCTGAAGATGCTGCTGATGATGGTGGTGGGAATGTTGTTGATGATGATGATGATGATGATGCTGATGATGATGATGATGATGATGACCATGATGATGATGATGATGATGATGATGATGATGATGATGATGATGATGATGATGATGATGATGTTGATGATGATGATGATGATGATGTTGACAGTAACGATGATGATGGTGGTGATGATGATGACGTTGTTGATGATGATGATGATGATGATGATGATTCATGGCTGTTATTAGGTATCGGAGTCGGTGTGATCACACCCGCGACCAACAAAAAACAATCTTGGCCTGGCTGATCCTGCTCTTTTTGCCTCCTGCGCGGCTCTTCCGGAGAGGATCCAGTTCAATGTCTACCTCGACGAGGACGGCTGGTGGAGGAGGAGGAGGAGAACATGGAGGATGGGAGCAGGCGGATACATAACGATCTAAGCGAACCCGGCGCGACCAACATTAGGGGAAACTTCCTTTTGCATGGGCGCGGTGCTTGGCATGTGAGACTTCGAGGCGCCAAGCGGGGAACCCAGGGAACCCGGGGAATCCCCGAGCAACGGGCAACGTAAGACTCCGATGCGACAGTTATCAAGCAAGTAAGAACCCTTTGGGCAAGCCTATTTTGGGGAAAACGGGTCAGGAGGAGGACGAGGAAGAGAGGAAGGACCCGTTCATCCTCCTTCCTCGTCCCAGCTCTTTGTCTTCCTTTTTCTTGTACTTCGGCCCCTTCCTCGTCCTCCTCGTCCTCGCGTCCTTCCTCCGTGTTCTTGTTCCTCTCCTTCCGCTTCGCCACCCTCTTCGTCCTCGTTGGACCTGTCTTCCTTACCCTCCTTGTTCCCCTTGTTCTCCTAGTCTTGGTTTGCCTTCGTCCTTCTGGTTCTCCCCCGCATCCGGGTCGTCCTTCCCCTGGTTCAGAATAGCATCTTCTGGCCCAGCAGCGCATACAAGGCGGGCCAACATAACATGCATCTGAATGTTTCAAGAACCGTGCGCATGCCAATATCCCCCAACTCTCTCCTGCGCTCCTCTTCCCCCCATTCTCCCCCTCTTCGTCCTGCTCCTCCCCCCCTCGCTGCCCCCCCCCAAGTCGACCCTTTGGGTTATAGAGGGCAGCCCGTGGTCGTGCATCCCCGTCCAAGCCAAGCGCTCAGTTTCAATTACATCGACACGCGCGCACATGACAATACACTTTACGTTTCATCCGCACTCCTTCCATGCACCATCTAGGTGCGCCTACGTTCTAGAGGACCTGCACGCACGATTCCCATAACCCCAAGGTGTATGCGTAGACTAGTGCGCCCCGTGTTCTCATCACCATGCTATCACAGTAAACTTGTTTGCATGCCATGATGTAGTTAGAGTGCGTGCTTTCTTGTACACAGCCTTAATTCGCACATCTCATCTTGTTGTCTTGTCGCGTCAGAACACTCAAATATTTATGCCACATACTTATTGTGTTATCCATATGTGGTCTTGGTACGAGCTGCTTGAGGCACTCCTCGGCGCCGTGCCAGTGGAGCACCGAACTGCATGCATGATGTTTCTACCCAGCTCTCCCGAACGGGCTCGGCGGACAAATTTTGGTACTATCGGGGAAACAACGCTGAAAAGCTGAAGCGTTGTGTGGCCGTAAAGTTGCATGCTTGGTACGTTGCTTCTTTTGGGCTTCCCAGAGGCCTCCCGGAGGCTTCTTAGGCCTCTGGGGGGCTTTTGGAGGCTCCCGAGAGGGCTTCGTGGGGACTTCGTGGGACCCTCTTGGGAGTCCTTTGGGTCGTTTTGAGTGCAATGGTTCTACCGAACTTGCGGCCGGTTTGTAGCCGTCGTCGGGCTTTCCCAGGCCGTCTTGGGGTGCCTTCGGGCCGTCGGGCGGGGGTCTTGACTGGGGGCGGCTTCTTGGGAGTGTCTTTGGGCCTGTGTGAGTCTTCGGGCCACCTTAGACAGGTCTTGGGATTTCTTGCAGTCATCTTGGGGCAGTCAGGTAAATTCGGGACGGGAGGGGCGTCGGATAGCAAAGCCTCGGGGAGACGTTTTTTCCCCACATGCTTGGTGGGGTTCTGGTTTTCTTCTCTGCCGCGCCGCGCCCGATTTTTTGCGAAGTTCTGGGACCAGGCCGACAGGGACAACGCAGTGCAGAAGATCCGCAAAAAGGCCTTCACAGAGGGCGGGAACACGGTCTGGGCGAAACCGGACAAAGCGCTACCAGAGAGGATCTTAAGTTCGTTCGTTTTTGGATCCAAGCGTATGCTGAAGGACTGGGGCTACGACAGCACCAGCGTCTGGGCCGACCCGGAGGAGGGCAAGGTATGGGTCGGCAGCGAAATCGCGCTGCAGGTGACCATCGACGGCGGCACGCTGAAGGTGGAGTATGGCCCGGGCTGGGAGGACTGGTTGACTGGAGCCGATTTCCCACAGTTCCCTGAGATGGTGCAGAATTTGCGTGAGAAATTGCAGAGGATCCCTGCCAAGGGGATCGGCAAAAACGGCCCCAAAGGGAAAGGAGGGAAGGGGCAGGAGTCCCATTAGGGACTTGCACGGCGCATCGGCTACGAGCACCCTGGCTCCAATTTTGGGCGTGGAAGCTTAGACGAAGCTTTGCCGCGCAGGTCCGAGCCGGGCGTTTCAACACATGTTTCACAACCTTGCAGTAACCATCAACGCGATTACAACGTACCAGCTCTTGGCCATCATTTTGTTGAGCGGGCAGGGCGCGCAGGACATTTCAGAGACATACGGCGAAAACGTCCCTGCAATGTCATGGCCGTTGCCTCCTGGAATGTGGAAGGCATGCGCTTGGACAGCGACTGCACCAAGTTAGACCAGCTTGTGCAGGCGATGGAGGAGAGAGGAATCGCAGTTCTATGCTTGCAAGAAACACATTTGGGTAATGCTCCTTTCTTTGACCATAGAGGGCATGTAGTTATTTTGTCAGGTGGCCCCGGGAATGTCCGCGAGCACGCAGGAGTGGGTTTTGTGGTTGCTCCTTCTGCCCGGCACGCTGTCCAGAGCTTCGTTCAAGAATCGAGCAGACTTGCTAGTCTAACGCTTCGAATCCCAGGCGGCTCCATGTCTATCATTACCGCGTACTGCCCTCAATCTGGTCTTGACTTTGATGTCCGTCACGACTTCCATAGCGATCTTCACAATTTTATTCTCCGTACCAAGCCTCATGGACCTTTGTACGTATTTGGTGACATGAATGCCCGTTTTGGTCCAGACTGCGATCATGCAGACGTTGTCGGTCCATATGCCTGGGGGCCTACAGGTAACGCGGTCGATGCTCGCAGTAATCAGCACATGCTCGTCGAAGTTTGTACCGCTCTACACGTGGTCCTTGCAAACGCGTTCCTGGACAGGCCGGATGTTCAGAAAATGACCTACTACGACCTCTGGGCCACGCCTGTTTCGGAGCTCACGCCGCAGAATTTCGCCGAGATCGACCACTTGATGGTGGAACGGAAGTGGCAGGACACGGTTCGAGAGGTCAGAGCGGATCGATCGATAGGTTTCTCATCGCACCATTTCCTCGTCATTGCTCGGCTCGCGGTGGAGATCCCGAAGACCTCCCCCAAACCCACTCGGCACGCCTTGGATTTGGCATCGCTCAAGCAGAAGGACGTGCTGAAACATTTCGTATCGGAATTTCTGCAGCATTGTGGCGACGACGAAAGTCTTCAGACAGAAACCGTTGATGAAGTGGCTGCCAGGATCGCCTCCGGCATGGCTACTGCGGCGGCTGCCTGTCTTACCCGGCGTCCAGTGCAAGCAAATCGTCCTTGGATACGGCAGCCTACTTTGAATTTGATAGAACAACGCAACCAAGCCCGGGTAGCCGGCAATATTGATAGAGAAGTGTCGTTGTCGAGAGAGATCAAAGCCTCTGCGAAGAAAGATCGAGCAGCATGGCTGGACGACATGTTGTCAGCAGGTGACTGGAGAAGCCTGAGACAGTTCAAACGGAGAGGCATCACGAGACAAGGGCGGCTCAGAGACGCGAGTGGGAATCTTGTCGGTAGTCATGAGCGCGCCGAAACCATGGCGAAGCATTACGCCACGGTGCAGTGGAAACCGCCGCCGCTTGGCAGAGCTCTTCCACACGGTGGCAAACTTGGCCCTGTGCTTCCTCTGCAGGCTGGCGACTTCTCCAGCGAGGAGCTGGCAGCAGTGTTGACACAGATGCGGGCAGGGAGAGCAGCTGGACCAGACGGCATCCCCCCCGACCTCTGGGAAGCATTGCGGTCTGACGCAGACGCGTGCGATATTCTTCTCAATCTTTGTAATGTGTGCTGGAGAGAGAAGACCGTGCCGAAGCGCTGGAAGCATTTCAGTGTATCCACTGTGTTCAAAAAGGGGGACGTGTCTCTGCCAGAGAACTACCGCCCAATATCGCTGTTGTCTGTTGGTTACAAAGTCATCGCCGCCCTCATCTTGCGCCGCATGGCTCAGGGAGGAGTTGAGGGGCGCTTGCGGCCAACGCAATTCGGTTTCAGACGACGCCGTGGGGCCAGCGATGCGTATTTTCTTGTTCAGAGATTAATCGAGAAGGCATGGTCGACCAAGGACGGCTGCCTGTCCGTGCTGCTGCTTGATTGGTCCAAGGCTTTTGATCGAGTGGACGCGGCTGCATTGGTCGTCGCATTGTCCCGGTTTGGCATCCCGGACGAGTATATCGATATCGTTGCAGCTATTTACGACGACCGAACCTTTGACGTGCGCGATGCGCACGGGGAGTCTGGTATATTCGACCAGCAATCTGGCATAGCGCAGGGGTGCCCGCTGAGTCCTTATCTGTTCATCATCATGCTGTCCGTTTTGCTGACAGACGTCGAAGAAGTGATGGTGCGAGAATGTGGTCCACTCGGTGAGGGGAATACTTGTTTAGACGTTGCGTATGCAGACGACGCCGCCTTGATATCTGATGACATCCCTCGTCTGCAGTTTTTCTTACGCACTCTTGTTCAACATGCGTGGAGGTGCGGTCTAGAGCCCAACTGGGCGAAAACTTTGCATTTACAAGTTCGGCATGCAACGCCGGTGCTCACATCCACCGGGGACCCGGTCAACACGACCAGTTCAGCTTTATATCTTGGTGGCCTCTTGAACGTTGACTGTAACGCGGGCGCGTCTCTGGCGCGCAGACTGGGGGAGGCCAGGGGAGCCCTTGATAAGTTATGCCTGGTATGGGGGCACGCGAACATCAGTCGGAGCGGAAAGATCATGCTGTTCAACGCGTGCGTAATTTCCAAGCTCTCCTACAGCATCGAGGCTTTGTGCTCGCGGAAAGCAGAGAGGGATAAACTTGATGCGTTCCAGGCCCAGTGTCTGCGCAAAATATTAAAGATCCCTCATTCCATGATCTCCCACGTGTCCAACCA